GTGCTTCGGAGGTTGCAGGTTCTTACTAAGGTTATCAGTATGACATAAGATGCACACTCCAAGTACAACTCCAAACAAAATCTCAAACTTTACCATTTGTGCATCTACTCCACAGATTCTAGCATGTGCTTCAGAATCAGCTTTTATGTCTCTGACTTGATCCCAGCTTAATTATCAATAACACTTTGCAAGGATGCTGCTTTAACTGTCCATCCAATTGGGCACAGGGCTCGAAAACTTTGAACTGCTGGAGCAAGATCTGACTTATAAGTTTTCAAACAGTGTCATGTTGAGGTGAGTATATAAATAATCTTGAAATTTCACTGACAGTATCCAAAGCATAACTCAGCAGTTTGTTTTGTTGCAAGGTGTCAGCTGCTACAAGTTTCAGTGCATGTCTCTAGCAATTATTGAAAACAGCTCAAGGTTCACATTCAAAAATTTTTGTAGCAGTACCTGTTCTAATGACAGCCATGTTTATTGCTCAATCGTAGCACTGACCCCAACAATCAACCAGAAACAGATTGATTTGTAACAATACATCTTTCAGCACATCTACCAAAACATTAGCTACAGTGGAATCTACTTTCTGAAACCTAACAAAATCTACATGAGTATCAAGATCTTGGTCAGTCCTATGAAGGTAAATGACAACTTGTTCTCAACTGGATGTGCCTGTAACTTTGTAAGCTATCAGTGAAAAAATACTTGTTTTCTTTAATAGATGAAGAAATCTCACAAAGGATTGAATGAGCCATTACTTTAATTAAACCATTTTATATCTGGGGACTTGTTTATCTTTGGATCATCAATCCCATGAAGAAGCAGAAGCTGTTTGAAATTACTGTTGGCTTGACTGCCATCTCCATGCAGTGCCAAACCTTGTCTAGCTAAGTATCATAAAGTCGGTACAACCTTGAATAAATACTTTCAGTTTGCTTTTATTTCTATAGCATGGGAAGATAACAACAGTTCTCTCACATCTGTTGTTTTTCAGTGTATACATCATTTAAATTGCTTGCTTGTGAAAGGAATTTTTAATGGAATAAGTGTTTTAAATTCTCAATATTATAAGGCAATGTTTTTAACAAATCTCAAATTTCCCTTAATATATGAATTGAGACATTTTCTCTCTAAGCATCCTCTCTTCTCTAATTTATTTACCACCTCTCCAAAAAGTACAAAATTTAATGAAATTACTCATTATAATGTTATCATCACTCAGGAAAGCATAATTTTTACAGCCTTCAATCTTATTTGGTTACAGAGCCATCAAATAGAAAATCAGACCCCTCTTGCCAGCCAACCTGTCACATCCTCTCTTTCAGAAATTATCAATAGTTCTCTCTAACACTAAATATTACACTATTTATAACCAATAGAAAGCCAAGGTTTTAATCTTTCAAGTGATGTATCATATTACATTGTTTTCTGTACAGAGAATTGTCAGTTTCACTTCCAATTCAAGCTTCATTCCCATGAGAAACACATTAGTGAGGGTGAATTTCTAACAGCTCTTGTCACATAGTTAAAAAGTTATGATAATTATAGGACATATTCTGTTTTTTGCATGTTATTATTCTTGTTCTTTGGATCATTAAATAAGAAATTATTTAGTGCAGTAGTACCATTAGTATAAGATAATAGTGTTAAGTGCCATCGACAGTTGACATCGAAAAAAAGAAAACCTAAGAAAGTACTTTATTTCTTGTTGTTCGTATGTATTCTTCATTTATTATTTTGAAAGTAACTAAAATGAAAAATAGGAAACATTTCAGCTTAGTTAAGATTAGATTAGGTAAAATGAATAATAACATAATAAACATTTTCACGAGATAAGCTCATAAGCAGGAATATGGGCTTCTCAGCAGGTTGTCTTTGTGCAGGCAAATTCACATTTCAAATTACTTAGCCATTCTCTCATTGACGTAGTTCCAAAGACAATCACAATGGATAATTTTTGGTTTGGACCTTCTACCTTGTAGATTCTGTGAGCTAGTTCATTAATTCTTTTCAGTACAATATATGATTCTTCCCAGTACTTCCTTGCATTGGGAATTGTTCAACTGTACCATTGCCCCTTAGGGAAATGTGGCCTTATAAGCATTAACATCATAGCTACTTTTCATTTTATCACAAGACAGTTTAAGTTTTTCCAAAGCAAAGTCATGTATGGCATCTTTATTTTTCAAACCCACACAAGCTTTTGCAACCATCAATGTCTTATGACATGCCAGAGTATTTGATTTCACTATGCATCTTGTCACTGGAAGTAGATTTATTGCTGATAATTCCTGGCATGGGTACTTCACTTATTGGTAGTACAATGAACAACTTACCTGTTGCCATTGGAAATTCAATTTCTGATGTAACAATTGCCATCTAGTTCACAAAAATCTACTGGTCATAGACTTTGAAGATAAATTAGATAAGTCATATATGACATCTTTATCCTTCAAATCTATGAAAGATTTTTCCAACCATCAATCCTTTTGTAATGTAAATTTTGATCTATGTGAAAATAAATGTGAGCAAGTTCACAAATTAAAACTAAAAATTAAATATAATACTATGTATTAAACCCTACAGATAAATTTCAATGAAGTTTAGTAGTATTTTGTAAATTTAGTTACTTTTTAAAGATTGCATTTCATTTCTCTTTTAAATGTATGTGGTATTTTCTCAGTTTGATCTTCAGCTAAGATTCTGTCTAAGCTTTTATTTCATTGCTTCATTTCTTTGACCCTTTCAAGACGGGTCACTGATGAAAGGCCATGCCATCTCATTTCTTGACTCGCATTCAAAAATTTATTGAACTACTATTTCATGAATTTATGTCAATAACTTTGTATCAAACTGTAGATTATAATTCAAATTTTAGTACTATATATTACTAAGTTTCTTAATTTAAAAACAAATATTAAAAAACACAGATAAACACGTTGATTTTTGTGTGACACATGGTATGTTGAATGCAGCACTGGTTAAATTAGTAGTTTCATACCAATTAGAAATTCAAATTACCTATATTGACAAGCTAGAATATAATTCTGTTTGTTAAGATATTGCTCATGAAATAAATCTAACACAGTGGCATCCCGCCCACCTTTTTCCATTTTTGGAAATGCTTCCTTATATACAATTACTTGTATATATGACATGAATAACCAGTTGGAATCTCAGAATGTTCCCCTAATGGCTCTCTCAGCTATTTTAACAGTCTTGGCACCATTTCTTTCTTTGAACCAATATTTCAACAAAGTAGGATGTGTCTTTAGTCTGCTTGAAATTTCATATTGTTTAGACTAAAATACATCTTAGTTACTAAGCTTTATAAATTCTATGGTATTGATGTAGTAATTTATGATTTTTTTAGTTATTCAAATGTATATATATAAAACTAAAAAAATATTTTGTCTAATACTCTCCACATGCAAATTTTTTCAAGGCTTAGCAACCTACATCAAGCAGCAACTGATTACAAAGGTCGTAACTAGAAGAGATAATTGTTTGCTTTACTTCTTTAGTTACTGTTCCATGTTTTAAGAAACATAAGTTTAAGAACTTATTTCAAAATAGCAATAATCTATATACATATATAATGTATAAAAATTGAAATGTGACTGTATTTTACAAAATACTAGTCTACTAAAACACAGCCAAGACAAGTTACTTTGTACAGACCAATGGTCAGTTTTA